CCTTTGACCTCCCGCAATTCCCAAGGAAAAGGAGGGCGGGGAGGGGGGGTGGAGGGGCGGCTAGATAAGGCGAAGGAGTTCAGCCAGGCCGGGAAGGAGGCGACGAACTGGTTTGACTCTTGGACGGTCCCCTCCAAAGGCTGGAAGAAAACAGGCTCTCTCTCCTCGCTGCGGCGACCGTCGGAGTCGTTTTGAAGCCAAGAACGCCCCCCCCCCGCCCCCCACCTTTTCTCTTCTGAAGAAAAATTCACCGGCCTTCCTTGGGTTCCTGCTTGCTTCTCCTTCAGCTTTCAGCAACCTTGCTCGGGTTTTAAAAGGTGAGAAAAACTGAGGCTCAATAGAATAGAATAGAATAGAATAGAATAGAATAGAAGAATTACAGAATGGAATAGGAATAGAACAGAACAGAGTAGAATAGAAGAGAGTAGAGTAGAGTAGAATAGAATAGAAATAAGGAATAGAATAGAATAGAATAGAATAGAATAGAATAGAATAGAATGGAATGGAAGAATTACAGAATGGAATAGGAATAGAACAGAGCAGAGTAGAATAGAACAGAGTAGAAGAGAGTAGAATAGAATAGAATAGAATAGAATAGAATAGAATAGAATAGAATAGAATAGAAGGGACCTTGGAGGTCTTCTAGTCCAGCCCCTTGCTCAAGCAGCAGACCAGGGCTTTTTTTGTCATAGAACACCCAGAACAGAGTTCCGGCACGTTTTTGGGATGGAACCTTATAGGGTAGGCAAGGTGGGTTGTATGACGTGTGTGAGTTCCGGCTCCTTTTTTTTTTTTTACAAAAAAAAGCACTGCAGCAGACTCTATACCATTTTGGACAAATGGTTCCTCTAGTGAGTCTCTTCTTAAAAGCCTCCAGTGTTGGAGCATTCACAACTTCTGGAGGCAAGCAGTTCCACTGATTAATTGTTCTAACTGTCAGGAAATTCATCCTTAGCTCTAGGTTGCTTCTCTGCTTGATTAGTTTCCCTTTCAGCCATGTGGACTCCAAACTCCCAGAATTCCCCTGCCACCAGCACTTTCAGATGTGGGGACTTCAACTCCCGTAAGCTGACACCTCTGAAAGTTGCCAAGGTTGAGAAATACTGTCGTGGAAGGTTATTTGGCAGCTTAGGTTATTTATATTGGGATGGATTGAAGTCCAGAGGCCACTCTGCTCTTCTAGGCTATTTTTTAAAAAAATATATTTATTTATATGCTGCCTTTTTTTGTTTTATAAATAACTCAAGGTGGCAAACCTCTCCAAACATGCTTTCCTCCTCCTGTTTTCCCAGCAACAACAACCCTGTGAGGTGGGCTGGACTAAGAGAGAGGGATTGGCACAAAATTGCCCAGCTGGCTTTCATGCCTAAGGCGGGACTAGAACTCCCAGTCTCCTGGTGATTGGCGCAAAGTCACCCAGCTGGTTTTCATGCCTAAGGCGGGACTAAAACTCCCAGTCTCCTTGGAATTGGCCCAAAGTCACGTAGCCGACTTTCATGCCTAAGGCGGGACTAGAACTCCCAGTCTCCTGGTGATTGGCGCAGTCACCCAGCTGGTTTTCATGCCTAAAATGGGACTAAAACTCCCAGTCTCCTTGGGATTGGCCCAAAGTCACGTAGCCGACTTTCATGGCTAAGGCAGGACTAGAACTCCCACGTCGCCTGGGGATTGGCCCAAAGTCACCCGGCTGGTTTTCACGCCTAACTCTGTAATTCTGTATTTTGTTTTTGCTCTCTGTCCTTCTCTCTTTAGGATAAAAGCTCACCAGGCAGACGCCACCGTGTTACCTGGCTGGGGATATAAAAGTCTTAAGAGCTTAAAAGGTCAGTGTTGAATCTGGTTCAATTGCTCTTCCAGGATCACATGCTCCAGGTCAAGTGAGCCACTGAACCCAGCCACCCGGGCTCCGGGTTCATGCCCAACTGTCCATTACTGTACAGTCAGGAAAAATACACTGTTTTCTTCCTTTTTTTGCCTAAACAGAACTAAGTCTGAAAGCCTCAACCCCAGACAAGCAATGCTTGATTAGTGACTGCCTTAATTCGCAGTTATAGGTGGTCCTCAACTTTCAGGCCCAGAATTACAGTCATTTAAACAGGTGGTCATGTGGCCGACCTAATTTTATGATTATTTTTTTTCCCGCAGAGATTGTTAAGTGAAAATGACAATCATTAACTGAACTCATTGTCCACCACGAGCTTTTTTTTTTTTTTTTTTTTTTGGCCAGACCCTGGAAGAAAACATTGTCAAAAACACTTGTGGTCATGTGACCATGGGATTTTGCAAAAGGGTTTTTGTTTTTTTTGGCAAACAGTATCAAGGATGTGATTGCCTCCTTTGGGGAAGATTTTTTTTCCAACAACCCACTCTAGGTTACAGCTTTGGGATCTCCAATTGGTCTCCCATTCAAGCCTTAAAGAGAAATAGAAGAGAATTTTTGTAGGCTTGAACTGGAGGAGGAGGAGGAGGAGGACGACGACGACTGTGGGGTCCTTGGTGCTCTCTGAGTTTGATTGTTTTTTGCAGACATTTCATTACCCAAGTAGGTAACATCATCAGTGCTAGAAGGAAGTGGGGTTTGTGAGGAGGAAGAGACGTGGGGGAGGAGGGGGAGAAGATGGGGAGGAAGAGGAGAAGGAGATGGAGGACGACTGTGGGATCCTTGGTTCTCTCTGAGCTCTGTTCTTTTCTAGCAGACATTTCATGACCTGCCTAGATAACTTCATCAGTGCTGGACGGGAGTGGGGTTTGTGGAGCTCCAAATTGGTAATCAGGAAACAAATGAAAACTTTTTAAAAGCTTTTAATATTTCACACAATCCATCCTGCTTACCAATGTTGTAACCAGGGAACCTGTACGAAAATAAAAAATAAAAATGTTGCAACGATTAATTTTCAAAGATCGCTGTTTAAACCTTGCACCGTTTTCAAGCATCTCAGCAAATCTCTGAATAGTCCCAAGAAAAATTCAGTGACAGCGGCTGTAATTTCTACCCAGGTAGCACAGACTGAAGCATACAAAGCTAACTAACTCCTATTTTGGCTTCTGTAGGACAAGTGGCAATTCTCCTTTTTAGCATGAATGGAGTTAATTGTCATCTTCCTGCTGCTGCAGAACATTTGTCCATGAGATCATCGCGGAAGGAAAAGTGGTGGGCGAGGAAGAATGTTTTATTTTTATATATATATATATATTTAAAAAGCTCCTTGCGTGTTTTAGCTCGGCAGCTACTGCATTACCTAGAAACGGATGTGAGAGTCACCGGGAAGTTCACGCTGGATCAAAACTCAATGCTTTCCGACGTTGCCAAGTTGAACGGCAACTTTGAGAGATCTTGGTGACCTCCAGATGTGTGGGTTTCCCAGAAGGCCCAAGCTGGATGGCCTGTGCTGGCAATTTCAGGAGTGGGCAGAATCAATCTGGACCCCTGCGTGCCCGTTTTTTGAGGGGGAGCAACTAAACACACGTGTATCCTCAATAGACAGTACTTCCATTTTGATGGGGATGGAGGAACTATGAAAAGTTGCCCTGAAAGTTTACTTGAAGGGTAGCGATGTAGAAAACGGGCTAAATTGTGACCCCCTTTGGGGAAGATCTTTCAACCCTTACTTGTTATTTTGCCTTTCTTCAAACAGACACTTACTTCCCAGTTACTGTTCTCTGCTCAACTTTTATCACTATTAGCAGGGGATTTATCACCTACATCTGGCTTTGGATTAGTTTCTTTCTAGGGTCCAGAAATCCCTGTCTTCAAAAGAAGGGAGTTTAAATCCCCCAAAGAGGTAAGATCAAGGGGCTAGCTGGGTTAGGCCAATAAGCCAGGGGAATTTTCCAAAGGCCTTCCCAATGGGCCAGAATACTTTAGTCTAGCCCACTGCTCTCACAAAGAGAGTACTGTACTGTATTTCTGATAAATGCCTATCCAGTTTCTTCTTAAAAACCTCCCCACAACTTCTGGAGGCAATTTAAATTTAAAAACCTTTTTTTTAAAAAAAAAAACTTTCCCTGATCAGCACAAGCCTCTCCAGGCAAAAATGGGGCAGGGGGTGGGGGATTTCCTTCCACTAAGGCAGGGGTCTTCCAACTCGGCCCTTTTATGACTTGTGGACTTCAACTCCCAGAATTCCTCAGCCAGGCAGGCTGGCTGAGGAATTCTGGGAGTTGAAGTCCGCAAGTGCGCAAGGGCCAGGTTGGGAGACCCCTGCAGTTAAGGGGTCAGCAGAATCTCTGCTGGGTCTGTGCCGGGGACAGGAGGAGGCAGCAGCAACTACAGGCTACCAATGTCAGGCAGATGCAAACAAACCATCTTGCGAAGCGCTGCACTTACCAACACAATAAGAAGCAGAGCAGTTCCCAAAGGGGTTGCAAACGACAGAAGTCCACTTCCACAGAGTAACAAAAAAAATTTGTTTTTAAATATTTACAGAAGTAATTCTAGCTCGCTAGTCCTCAAGCCCGGCAAGCAGCAGGTCTTCCAGGCAGCTCCAGGAAAGCAAAAGCAAAACAGATCTTGCAAAAAATCACCCAATCTCCTTCCGCCATGTGACCAGCACCAAAAAAAAAAAAATATCCCACTTCCGGCTTCTCCTCTCCGAGCCACGTGGCTGCAGAGGCCTCTTTGTTGGTGGCGGTTTTGCATGTCTAACAGTGAGTAGCCTTTCTGAATTAGTTCGTTTTTGTGAACACTGGTTAAATAAACGTTCGTGCTTGGAGGAATTGCCTGTGTATAGCCATTCGTGTTAAAATTAAGAATTAAGTCCCACTTGAATAACTGCGCCTGCTTTTAATTAAACAGCCAGTTGCATGTCCGCTACATTTAAACATGGAGACCTTGTTGAAGAGCCACTGATGGACTCTGTGGCTCCCTTTTTTCCAGGCACCCAATGGAAAGGTTTTTTTTTAAATAAAATAAAATAAACTCCTAGGGTTTTACTTTGCATGTGTTCCAATTTACTGTGCACTTGAATAACTGCACCTGCTTTTAATTAAACAGCCAGTTGCATTCAAATATGGCGACCTTGTTGAAGAGCCGCTGATAGACTCTGGGGCTCCGTTTTTTTCCAGGCACCCAGAGGAAAGGTATTTTAAATAAAATAAAATAAACTCCTAGGGTTTTACTTTGCGTTTGTTCCAATGTACTGTGCACTTGAATAACTGCACCCTGCTTTTAATTAAACAGCCAGTTATTAAACATGGAGACCTTGTTGAAGAGCCACTGAAGGACGCTGGGGCTCCCTTTTTTGCAGGCACCCAGTGGAAAGGTTTTTTTTAAAATAAAATAAAATAAAATAAACTCCTAGGGTTTTACTTTGCATTTGTTCCAATGTACTGTGCACTTGAATAACTGCCCCCTGCTTTTAATTAAACAGCAAGTTGCATGTCCGCTGCATTTAAACATGGAGACCTTGTTGAAGAGCCACTGATGGACTCTTTGGCTCCCTTTTTTTTCCAGGCATCCAGTTCACCACCTCCGCTTCAGCTCCCACACTCTCATCACGGCCCACATCCCCAATGGAGCCAGCATCACGGACGAGGACTTGACCGCTCACCAAAGGTGAGAGCTGACCCTCACGGTGGTACTTTTCATCTCAACCAGCAGGAGGCGCCCTGTGACACCCCTCTCGGTGTGGCTAGACTACAGTTCCCAGCAGCCTTAGCTAGACAATATTGCGGGACGCTGGGAGGCATTCCCCCAAGTTGGCCTTCCTCAGTTTAAACCAAGGCTCTTCCAACTTGGCCTTTTTATGACTTGTGGACTTCAACTCCCAGAATTCCTCAGCCAGGCACGCTTGGCTGAGGAATTCTGTGAGCTGAAGTCCACAAGTCATAACAGGGCCAAGTTTGAATACCCCTGGTTTAAAAAGGAAAAGAGAAGAAGCCGCAATGGAGGAGCGTTTCAGAGCTTATGGTGGCAGAGAGCCAGGATGTTGTGGCCAAGCCAGGCAGGGGTTTAGGATGGGAGGGTAGCCAGCTATAAATCACAAGCACGCTCTGGTGAGCAGCAAGTGGCTTGGAAGAACAAACCCAGCATGATGGGTGAAGGGTGGTAAGATGTTCCAGCATCCATTATTATGGGTTGGCTTGGCTTAGATTGATGGGGATTATAGTCCAGCTGCTTCTGGATGGCTATTGGCCTCCCCTCCTCTTGGAATACAGAGTAGTTTAGCTTACCTAAATCCTGTTTTAAATCTTCTCTTCTCTTCTCCCTTCCCCCTTCCTCTCCCCTCCCCTTCCCTCTTCTCCTCTTCTCTCCTCCCCTCCCCCCTTACCTCCTTTTCCCTTCTCCCCTCCCCTCCTCCTCCCACTTCCCTTCCCATCTGTTTCCTCATACTCTGAGCTGACTTCCAAGAAGGTGAATACAAGACAGTTGACATATCTACCCAGGGAATTCTGGGGATTGAAGTCCACATGTCTTATCGTGGCCAAGGTTGAGAAGCACTACTCTAAAAGTAGAACAACCCGGAACCATTAAGGGTGCTCCTTCAAGCACATAGGCCTACTCTGAATTGATGTGCTTCCATTTTAACATCTTGGCCCTAGAGAGGAACCAGAGTATGGAGCAGGAGTCTTCAAACTTGGCCCTTTTATGACTTGTGGACTTGAAGTCCACCAGTCATAAAAGGGCCAAGTTTGAAGACCCCTGGTCTGGAGCAACGTTCTTCAATCTGGGCAACTTTTAAGATGTGAGGGCCAATTCCCAGAATTCCCCAGCCAGCTTGAATTTGAAGTGCAGACATCTTAATGTTGCCAAGGTTGGAAAGTTGCTCCAGAGGGTTTTGAACTGCTGGGCACCAGGCAGGTTGAAAAGCACTCTGCTTATTTTCTTTCCCCTTTTCTCCCCTTGCTTCTCTCTGGACAGGCACAGAGGCATTATCTACGCCTACGAATTCTCCACGGACAAGCTGGTGGCAGAGAGCGTCCTTCCTATCTGCCGCTCCTCTTACAACGAAGTGGCCGGCTACAGCTACAACATTGGCCTTATGGTCCCCTATGACAACATCTAGGCAGGGTGGGAAGAAGGGAAGTCCAGCTGAGCTGGACCCTGGAGAAGGAGAACCCCAAGGATGGCGTTCCTGCAGACCTCTTTGGAGGGCTCGGAAGCCACGGGTTGGCCAAGCAGGCAGCAGAATAAGGGGGGGCACATGGGGGTCTCCCCAAAGCTTTAATAACAGCGCTGTGGGAGCGAAGAAGAGATGGTGGCTAACAGGGACCATGATAGATAGGCAAGAATCAGGAGATGATAATGAAGGCTTTAGCCCAAGAATCAGGAGGTAGTAAGACAGATTGTAGCCCACATATGCAGACATCATTCTGGGGGAAGGGAAGGCTTCCATTCCTTGCACCTAGCTAAAATAGTTCAGTGCTGCCTTTCTGGAACAGACGCCGATGCTACTTGCAACATCTGGAGATCTTAAGAAGAAGAAGAGACTTTGGGAGCGTTTTTCTTGTAAATAAAATACCTTTATTAAACATTGGTCTCGGGATGAGGGGGTTGGTGTGCTTGAAAATTGCTGTTTTATTGTCAGGGTGCTGGTTTTCGAAATCCCACATTGGGAGAGGATCCAGAGGCCATCCCAGTCAGAGAAAATCCTGCCACAGGTAAGTCAAGCACGTGTGTGTAAGTATCCTTTCTTCTCCAGCTCCACTGGCACTTTGCCTGATTGCACCAGGATTGCCAAAGCAGCACCCCTCCTTAACCGTGCTGCCTGGGGTTGCTGGGAGTTGTAGTACATCTCTAGCTTGGTGCAGCATGGGGATCTTTGCCTGATCCATTCTCCATGCCAGTTTTTGCTGGCTTGGTCACAAGTCATCTTGTGGGGCCTCCTTGCTGGGTGGGCTAAGGCAGCTGCCAAACCGGCAGGGACAGCACCATAGGTATTCATCTCGGCCGTTGCAACATGGGCTGAGGATGATGGGACTTGGTGGCCAGAGAGAACTTGGATGGGCAAGACTTCAGCACCTGAGTGTTTGCAGTCCTTGTGCAATGAGGAAAAGTGACTGGTATATATGGGCAAAAGGGTCTTTTCTGGGCAACTTTAAATGTCCTTGTTTTCCTCACGCCAATTGGGCTAATCCAGCAGTTTCCCCAAAGGAATCTTTCCAGAAGAGGAAGATGGTTTTGGTATTCTGGAGGTATCCTGATGCCCCTATCAAGACACTTCCTTTTCTAGGAACTTCCTTCTTGAAAACTGTTGCCATAGAGGCAAATTGTGACATGATGGAGGGTCCCTGGATTGCCCATATATATATATCGGTGGAGCTGCAGAAGAAAGATGCACACATGCAGCTGGATGTATATTGTGTATAAGCCAGGGCAGTGTTTTGCAAACTTGTCAGATGTGGGGGTCTTCAACTCCCAAGTAATTCTGGGAGTTGAAAGCCATCCATCTTAAGGTGGCCAAGTTTGAAAAAGGCTGCTCTAAGGTTACCAGATCTGGGCTGCAAACATAGGC